ATATATATGTAGACCAAACAGCTGCGGTCGATAAGGTTTGCTCAGCGGCGGCGGCCCCGGCGACACGCTATGCCGTTCAAGCGGATGGCGTGTCGCTCCTCCCCCGCGGGGCGGGACTCACGCTGGGGCAAAATTCCCGACCGTGTAACCCAGACTCCCGACGCCGTGTTTTTTTTGAGGCGCCCAGGGGCACACAAATAAATATACAAGAATCCCAGGTTCATTTTTTGTACTGGCGTTTCTAGTCCTCGGCCTGCCGCGACAACTTATCACCCCAGCCTTCCTGCAAAGCTTACCGAAGCGTCTCACCCTTCCATGTTCACAAGCGTCTGGGCCACCACACTTTCAACATTCTCGCCGTCTGCCACCATGCTCAAACAAATCCACGTACACCATACCGTCTTTGACGCACCGAATTCCATCAGTCGGTCGAAACTGTGCATCTGTACGATTTCGCGGCCCTCGACAAAATCGATGCCCATTGCTTGGTACTAAGACTCCTTCCTCACTGCCATTGACGAGATACCAATTGGAAATGATCTCGCGCAAGCAAATCTTACACCGCAGAGTGCACTTCCTCTTGAGCTGCACCACATGAGGGAAACTTCTTGTCTTGGCATTCGACATATATTGATCACTGCGGACTGTCAAGCGCGGATCGTAATCACGGTGAAGCCTACTGGATGTATGATCATTACCGCGACTGTAATCAAATACGTATTCTTCAGATGTACCTCCCTGGGGGTTAGACTTTAAACTATCAGCTGCACCAAACAAGCTCACAGCACCAGCCGATGCTATATATTGACCTTTTGCTGCGAGCGACTCAAACTCTACGTGCTGCAGAAAGTGGCGCATGCGTTCCACGGGCACCGACAAAAAAATCCTGGTGCTAAGATCCTCCAGATTCAAGCCTACATTACCCGTGGCCCCTAACGGCTTTAGTAGAACGTCCCGAAGCTGCATCTGCTGTGCAGCCTGTAATTCCTCCTTGGCCTGATCTGTTATGCAACCTTGTTTCCAAACCTGCTGCGCAAGATGTCGGGGAGAAGACCGCACGGCAATAGCCGCCAATGCAACTTGCGCCATCGCATCAGCGTCACAGACGCTCAAAGCCAACAACGCTTGCCGTATCACCGCCGTCACTTTCTGCTCCCTGTCCATGCCATGCAGCGCATCCATGTGTACAACTGTGTTCGGCTGTAGCTCACGAAGCTGCCGTTTCGTCATGAGGGGACCTCCTTCCCTCTCCCAGGGTCCACATCCCATGGTTCGTGTTTGCTTGCCGCAGGAGATGCCAGTGCATGCAAGACTGTTGAACAAGGCGCACTGGATCAAACATCTATAAAAAGGGCAACCGAACCAGCAAATACTGTGAGGCACAATGGAACGGCCTTGCTTATATTGCCTGGATACAAACGATTTCTGAGTGGAGTGCTGGTGTCGCTAAGTGGCGAGCGAGATTTCGAGTGATTGGGCATGTCTGAGCTGCATCGTAGACGTGTCGAAGCCTCCACCAAACGATCATGCGAGATAGCGTTGTACTTCCTCATGTGGCGCGATTCTGCTTCAACAAATCTATTGTCAATAATGCTCCGTGCTGCTCCCCAGCGACACACTGCAATGCGACCTAGGACGGTCTGACCCGCTGCTAACTTAACTCCAGGTGCTTTCCCAGATGCATGCGGGGCACGGAATTGCAAGACAACGCAGTGATTGGCAGTGCTTCTGGCAGTCCCGTCCCCAGCTGGAAACACTTGCAATACATGCCACGTGCATGGCAGTCCGACCAGTAGCTTGCAAGTGCTGCAGTGCGAGCAATTCCTATACATGGCCCTTCTACTCTGCAACTTGATGCCGGATCAAACTTGAGCCAAAATGGCTACGGATTGCCAAACGAATCCCACGAGTGCCATACATAAATATACATATATATATACACCCAATACTATATGGAATTTCGTCTTCCCCTCCACTTCCCATACTTTTTCCCCAAACAGCTTGCTGAACGGGGTGCTGTTGTGGTAGAAGCTAATTCCGGCCATGGAAAAGCGGAGTAGTCGAGACATCCTCAAAAAAATCTGGTGGTCTGGGCTGTTTCGCCTAAGTCATCCTCACAACTCTCGTTTCTGAGTTGGCCGGGATTGGCCGTTTCGCCGGTCTGGGCCGTTTCGCCTGAGACATCCTCGCAACTCCAAACTCCGAGATGCCGCGCAAGAGGTGGTCCGGCCCGTTTTGTCTCAGACATCCTCGCAAGTCTGCTCCGAGATGCCGCGCGAGAGGTGCCCGTTTCGCATGAGGCATCCTCGCAACTCGGGGATCCGAGATGCCGCGCGCGAGGTGGTTCGGCCTGTTTCGTGTGAGACAGCCTCGCAACTCAGGGTTCAGAGATGCCGCGCGCGAGGTGGTCCAGCCTGCTTCGCTTGAGACATCCTCGCAAATCTGAGCTCTGAGGTGCTGTGCGCGAGGTGGTCCGGCCAATTTCGCCTGAGACATCCTCGCAACTCTAAGCTCCGGGATTCCGCGCAAGAGATGGCCCGGCCCGTTTCGTCTCAGACATCCTCGCAACTCTGGGCTTCGAGATGCCGCGCGCAAGGTGGTCCAGCCCGTTTCGCATGAGACATCCTCGCAACTCGGGGATCCGAGATGGTCCGCGCGAGGTTGTCAGACTTACTTCGCATGAGGCATCCTCGGAACTCTGGGCTCGGAGATGCCGCGCGAGAGGTGATCCGGCCTGTTTCGCATGAGACATCCTCGCAACTCTGCGCTTTGAGGTGCCGCGCGCGAGGTTGTCCAGCCTGTTTCGCCTGAGACATTTTTCGCCGGTTCCGTTTTGCCGTTTTTGTTGCTGGTTCCGACGCCGTTTTTGTTACCGGTTCCGTCGCCGTGCTTTTCTCACAGTTCTGGCTCCGGTTCCAAATCCCGGAACAGTTTATTTGCCGTTTCCGCGGTCGCTTTTTTTTTGCTGTTCCCATTTTCAAGAGACACTTTTTCGGAAACGGTGCAAATACGGCATGCAATTTCCTCGGCCCACTGAGTCCCGCCGTCTCGCCCCCCTCCCCGTTTCTTCAATCCCCCCAGCCCCCTCAGATGCGCACGCGTCGGTCAGAAGAAGTGGGCCGGAACTCATGAAGTAGGAAGGCGTTGGAGATACTTTGGCTTACGCACACCCCCTGAAGATGAGGGACGAGGGAAAACCGCAAGACTCTTGAAGTAGGAAAGCGCCTAAACTAGATTGGGATCTGGAAACCCCAAACTTCCTATTTTCAACGACTGGTATGTACGGGTATCCGCCCGCCCCCCCCTCAACAAAATCTCGAAGGCCCGATGTTCCTTCGGCATGGCCTCTGGCAGCGGCTCTCCCGACCCCAGCCGTCTCAGGCCCACCACCCGCCCGCAGTGGGGGAGGCAATGACTGAGGTCCTCCCCCCCTCCTCTTCCTCCTCCTCCTCCTCCTCCTTCTCCTCCTCCTCCTCCTCCTACTCCTCCTCCTCCTCCTCCTCCTCCTCCTCCTCCTCCTCCTCGACCCCCCCTGCTTGAATAGCAGGGGCCCCGTCAACGACTCGGGGATAGGCGGGGCACCCCCCGCTGGTGGAATCAGCGGGGCGGTCGGCGCCAGCTGGACGTCGGGATATAAAACCAGTAGCGGCCACTGGGTGGAGGCCGTGGGCGACCGACCCAAAAACCGGCGGAGGCGGGGCCCTCTTTCAGGGCTTGGGGTGCGTCCCCCCCGGGGGAGGGGTAGGCCGCGGGGGCCTTCCTCCTGGCTCCTCTCCTCCTCCCCCTCTCCCCTCTCCTCTGCCCCCCTGGGGCTTCACAGTCCCGCTGCGGCCCACTCCCACGCCGGGGCTGGGGCCAGAGGCCCACGCGGCGGTGGCCAGTGCTCCGGAAAGCGCGGAGCGCCAACGCCGCCGCCGCGGGGGGAGCGCGGAGCGCAGTGGATGATGTTTCAGCTGCGCCGTTTTGCAGGAGGCCCCCCCAAGACCTCAGGCGAGGGGGGTCTCGATTTTGACCAAAGCCGACCTCCATCGCCCAGGGACAGCCTGGGGTGAGTGAGGCTTCAATCGTCGCCGCAGCGCGTGTCTCGCAATTGCGGGGATCAGGCCTGCAACACCCTCCTCCTTCTCCTCCTCCTCCTCCTCCTCCTTCCTTCCTTCCTTCCTTCCTTCCTTCCTTCCTTCCTTCCTTCCTTCCTTCCACTCCGCTTGGCGCCACCCCCAGGTCGGGGCGCGCGCCCAGCCGGGCCGCGCGGCACGGGCCCTCATAGGCAGGCGAGCTGTGCCCGCATGCTGCCCTTCCCCGCGGCCGGGGGCTGTTCGGCTGGAGCCCGACGCCGAAGCGGGGGGCTCGGCACCTAGAGCCCCCGGGGAACGGGTCGCCCGGCGGCCGCCCGGCGGCCGCCCCAGGAGGTCGCTGGTGGAGCGCCGCGCGATCCTCCTCCTCCTCCTCCTCCTCCTCCTCCTCCTCCTCCTCCTCCTCCTCCTCCCTCCTCCTCCTCTCCTCCTTCCCTCCAGTTCCTCCTCCTCCTCCTCCTCCTCCTCCTCCTCCTCCTCTTCCGCCTTCTCTATCCAATTCCTCCTCGCCCTCCACGCCCTCCTCCCCCTTCTGCTCCTCCCCCCCTGAGTCGAAAAAGCTCGCCTCAACCTCGTCAATTTCATCCGTCACCAGCTCCTCCCTCGGCAGCGCCAGCGTGCGGTGCAGACTTCCCGCCGAGGCGCTCTCGCGGCGAGCTCCCTCTTCAACACGAGCCAGCTCGACGCTGATGTCAGCGCTGGCCGGGAGGGTAGCCATCTGGGACATCTTGTTTGTTGAGCGCACGAAGGCGTCCTTCACCAGGGCGTCTCCGATGAATGCATCCACGTAGGCCGCTCTGACGCGGATGCGGATGGGCCACCGGATCCACCACCACCACCACGGCCAGCCCGAGCCGCAGTTGGGAGCCATCCACGTGCAGCTGGCGGGCGTCCCGGCGGGAAGGCACAGTCCGGTGCTGTAGGGCGTCATCCCGACCTGGTTGCACCAGTAGCACCCGGGGGCGCTTCCGCAGGCAGCGCAGGAGGTGATGCCGCTGCAGTAGCCCGCTGGCCCCGAGGGGCGCTCGGCGCGCGGGGTGCCCCGTCCTCCCCCGCCTCCCCTTGTGCCCCGGGCCTGCAGGATCAAGGCGGGGTGGTATGCGGTGATCCCGTATGATAAGAATGCGCGGTGAGGATGCAAGGGCCTTGCAGGGCCATGTCGACACCTCGCGAGCGGGGCGCGGCCAGCGAAAGCGGCCAAGGATGGGCCCAAGGGGCAGGGTGCAAAGGTAGCAAGTTGCTCATCCTCTCTGTGCGGGTTGACTGCGTGTACGCCCGTGCGCCCCTTGGAGGCTCTAAGCGCGCCTTGAGATCGAGTTCCAGGGAGCGCAACAAGGTCTTGGGGGAAGATCCAGGGGCACTTGCGGGCCTTTGGGTGCCCTGCGTTGCCTTTCAGTGGTACTGGGGTGCCTCTAGGGAGCCTTAGGGGCTGTAGGGAGTTCGGGGGGGACTTCTGGAGGCTCTTGGCGCCCCTCCGTCGAGCTCCTGACCCAAAGGGTGGTCTATGATGTAGTATATGCGTAATATAAGCGTGCCGATGCGATCGATACGAAGCTGCTCACCGAAGACACCTGGATCAACAATCGGAACAATCGGAACTGCAAATGTCGCCAGCGTGGGCGTCGCAGGTGGGCGCCGTAGCGCCGGGTATGTGATTGGCTGGCAAACGCACATTGCAACTACATGCATGAAGATGCACACAACTACAACAAGCATGTGGCCGACACACACGGAATCAATGGAATTCCTAAATGAGACTGCTACCCAAGATGACTCCAAACAACGGCGCACGAAAAAAGCAGAAACATAAGCTACAAATGAGGCAACGGCGTCATCCTGTCTACATAAGCGCGTTCACCTGATCTCCACCAATCATGACAGAAGTTGGAGCTCCAACCTTCTCCGGCATAGTGTCGGATGTCGTCGCCCCAGTGTTTCCTCGGATGTCCGGGCCAACTGTTGAGCAAACGCCGACTCAGCCTTGAGCTCGTAGCCTTCCGGCTTTGCAGAGGGCTGGGAAGACTGGGCCAGCTTCCTGGAAGCTGCCGAAGAAACTCGCGTCCAAGGCGGAGAGGGAAGGCTTCTCAATGATGGGCGCAACTGTACAATCGGACCTAGGACACTGTCCCCCGTTCTATGTTGCGAAGGTGTGATGCGTGGACCAACACTGTTTCGTGACTCCTTCCCGATTTCTGCAGATCCCACGAACATTCTTATTCAGAAAGAGTTCACACACATACACACATACACATACGTAGTCGCCTCGCGAGTACCAGGGGCTGGGGGTCTTCAAAAGGGCTTCCAAGAGGCCAACAAAACCAGACCCCCGGCGTCATGAATGTTTCAAAACGTCGACCCCCAGAGGTCTGAACCCCTTCCCGGGGACTGGTTTTTCATCCTGGGTCGTTCTTTGACGGTCCCAAGGCCCGGGCAAGGCCCCTGGATGCCGAAAATGGTGAAAACCCTCCCGTCGTGATTTGTTCATCACGCGAGGGGGGTCTGGGAACGACTTGCTCGAAAAACCTGTTTCTGTTCTGCATGCCCCCGGGGCCTGGTTCTCACTCTGGCCCAGGAGGCCCAGCAAGCGGGCCACGAGGGGCCAAGCAGGCCCGACTGCCCCCCCAAAAGGCCTCAAGAGAACGGCTCCACACGGCCCAAGACCAGCCACAGAAGGCCCCAAGACGGTCCAAGAAGACCGCGGCAACGGCCCAGCGGGCCCACTGGGCCACAACGCGGCCCGGGAGGGCCCCAGGATGGCCCAGCTCGGTGCCAGAAGGGCCCCAAGAAGCCTCGAACACGGCCCAAGAACGGAATGCCTTCAAAACACGGCCCAAGAAGGGCCCACGAGAGAGGCCCCAGGCGGCCCCCAGGGTCAAGTGCCAGTCCGCGGAGAGCACGCCGTCCTGTACCCGCGTGGCAGAATGATGAGAGGCAGAGGAGCTGAAAGGGGGAGAGGCACATGGCTGAAGAGGAGGCGGAAGCGGAGAGTACAGAGAGAGAAAGAGAGAGAGAGAGATATATATATATAAGGGAGGATGGGGCGAAGGCGAAGGGATGATAATGAAAAGGCGGAGCGGGGGTGGAAGAAGAGGACGAGGAGGGCAGACGAACAGGAGGACGGAGGGAAAGTGGGGGACAGGGGAGACAGGACAACGAGCAGGGGGAGGCAAATAAAGAAGACGTGGTAGGGGCTGAAAGCGCAAGAGGAAGAGGATACGGAGAAGCATCACGAGGAAAAGGTGGACGAAATTTATACAGAGAAAGAGGAGGAAGGAATCCCACCAGCCCTTTAGGGAGTGAGTGGTTTAGCAAGTTTCCTCTGCCATCTTCCTTCTTCCCCTGCATGGAGGGGTTATCCCTCCCGCTCCCCACTCCCCCTGGGCTTGGAGGGAGGGTTCCATGAGGTGTCAGATGCCAGGAAGTCTTG